GAATGTTCTTGAGATCATATTTTATGATTAAGAGGTATGTATATTAAAATTGCTATCTTACATTCGTATTATATTTATTTGTAATTATTATTTTTACACAAGTTCATGATTGGTAAGGTGGTCGTATTACTGGTATAATTTGTCCGCTCGACATTGTTAATTTGTCAACGAATATTAGGAAGGTGTGGTTTATGCGATAAAAAACTATCAAGTTGAGAGCAACATTGACATATACAAGTTAACTATTGGCAAATGTCGAACCATCCTTCATGGTCAAACTAAACATTATAAGTACACTGTTGATTTTCTCACCTATCGCTTCGACTTTAAGAGTTTTCTGACTTTGACTGACATTGATAATGTTGATGAATCAATCTTATTCGTAAGTCAATTTCTTCAATTTGAGTAATGTATTGATAGGTCGAAAAATGTGCATGTTTTATATATTTAATGGTGTATTTTTATACATTAATTTTATTTGCACATTTATATTTTTCGGCTTGTTTATTTATTAGATGGATTTTGGTACTTTGATATTTTTATGTCTTATTTTTAGGATATTGGAGGATTTTTATTGGCGGCGTTGCATCGAACGAGAATTGAGCAGGCAGTGCGGGGAAGCCCCATTCTGGACCGCGTACCTACACATTTTCTGCTCATATGTACAAAAAGGGCCCAATATTTAATAAACGTTAAATTATTTGGGCTGATTTGGTGATTTGGATTCCACAAATAAAGAAGCACACATTCACAGGGAGAGGATTTATTTTTGATGGGCTAAGCACTTCCATTAGATGGGAATTAATTTCCAAAAGCCACGCCAACAGAGGACAAATAAAAGTCAAGACACACAACCCCTTGAGACATTCGGGAATTAGTTTTGGAGCCGCCATATACCTGGAGGAGAATTTTATTTACGCAGAAAAAAGACGCAGCAACAAAGAGACGCCGACAGACGCGAGAAAGCCGATAGATCGCGGAGGAGGCCGCATCCGTACACGAGGGAGATAATTTAATATCTCTCTTTTATCTATTATTTATTTTTATTAGTATGTTAGAGTAGATTTTTTCTTTCTAGTTCCGGGGAAGTCGAACCCTAAGATTGACTATGTTTTAATTGATTATGGTTGATGATTTTATTATCTTTTTGAAATTGTTTGTGTTATTTTGAATAATTAACCATGATGTGTTGAGTCTTATTTAGATTGATCACCTAGATTAGGCTTTTCATATCTACACCTGAATGAGGCCTTCAATCCGTAATTGTTGATGTATTTAATTCGCAAGTGGTATCCGGAAGATGGTAACTACCGGGGATAACACGGCCTAATTAAGTGAATGAATATTTCGCTACTTAGTCTAGCCTATTTTTCTAAATCGTAAAGCGGCTAATTGAATTAAATTTAGGAAGCGTTTCCTAGACTGTTCAAGAGGTCAGATTTAATCGTAGAGCGTCTCGCGGTTAGATTAAAAATAAGGAAAAATTCGGGTAACAGCCCGTGGCGTTACCTAAGGCTAGTAATTCCATAGATAGCGTGATTTGATACCAGAATTAATTAGACGAGTCGGTCGAGGGTGTAGACGGAACCGTGAACTAAAAGTTTTCCCATAATTTGATATACTATCCTCTTTTGCTGCATTTGATTTTATTTTGTTATTCTTATTTTCGTAGTTAATTGTCTCACATCAAAACCCCCTCTTTTGTCGTTTTTATTAATTTCAATTAAAGAAAATAATTACAATTGAAATTCACACTCCCTTGGGTTCGACCCTTACTCACTGCTACTACTAGTTGGTAGAAGTCGGATAAAGAATTTATAAATATTAATTTTGCCGCGTTACGACGCGCGGTCATGTATCGTGATTAAAATTATTCAAGTTAGTTCGAACAATAATAATAAAATAAATCTTTTTAGTTTTGCTCTTTAGATATAAATGAATTGATTATTGACATTCAACCAATACAAAAGAAGCAAATGAACGATGGTGTATTCAATCGAGATTCTTAAGGACTTTTTAAAACTTTTCAAATTTGATGACTTTTGTGGATTTTGTAGAATTTTCATGACTTTGGTGGACTTTTTAAGACTTTCAGAGAATTTTCATTAGTGACTTTTTAAGACTTTCATAATGAATTTTTTAAAACTTATTGAGACTTTTATATAATTATAGTTATAATATTATATTTGAATAAAATATTAATAAGTGTAGCATAATAACTACTATAAAAAAGAATAAATAAGAAAAAAGATGTATATATTAATCTTCTAAAAATTTATGAATCAACCCATTGTTATGCGAAATGAGTTATTCACGATTTTTTTTTTAGAATTTTAGATTTATTAACCGAGTAAATCGATCCGAGCTTCGACGAGTCGAACTTGAGCAGGGCCTTATATTGGTTTGTTAAAAAATCACAAGCTCAAATATGTGTTAGACTTTTATGCTACAACGACACTTATAATCAACCCAAATTAAGATAAATTTATCTAATTATTGATGGATTTTATTTTTTATATTTTTTTGCATAATGTTGCTATATTAGAAAAATATTATTAGGATATATTTTTACAAGATACAAACATTGCCGAAAAACAGTAATAGTATCTTATAAAGTTATCAATAATATTAAAAATATTTCAATATCAACAAATAAACTATTTGAAAATAAAATAAATTTTTTAATATTTTTAAATAAACATTTACAAATAAAAAGAGAGAACAAATAAATTATTTGCAAGTGTAAACTAAATAAGCATTTAACGTTTGAAAAGTCAAATTCACAAGATAGCAAAATGAGAGAATAAAGGTATACACACATAAAATAAGCATAATAAAGAATATATAAAATAAAAAGATAACATTAATATACGTAATGAAAATAAAAATTATACAAGGTATAAGTAAAATAATAGAGCATGAAAGTGATATGAGATACAAAGTGGTGTTAGAAAAAAAAAACGTGAAGAGAGTCACATAAGTCCAACGAAATCTCACGAATATTGATGAGATTTCTGTTGAAGACTTTTCCTTTGGAATTTTGTTACAAAGTCTCTAAAAGTGTCACAATTTCAAAAGTCTCTTAAAGTCTTTCTGTTTTGAATATCGGGTGACTTGTAGAGACTCTCAGAATGTTTTAATTAAATCATCTGAGAGTTTTAAAGACTTATGAAAAATCTTTAAAAGTCAATTTTGAATACAGGTAAACTTTTCAGAAGTCTCTAAAAGTTCTAATTGAATACATCAGAATTCTGAAAGTTTTAAAAAGTCTCTAAAAGTTAAAATTGAATACACCCCGGACAGGGAGGTCCAACTCAATTGATTATGTTCTCTCCCATGGATGTTGAGTAAGTGTGTTTTTTGCCAATATATATTTATTTAATTCAATAAAAAAATACTAATTCGTATATAATTTAAAATTATTATTAGGGGCAAACATGAAGACATGTACGGTATGAGGGTAATATGTTGACCTACTGATTGCATTTGAGATGCATTATTCTGAAGAAGGATCACCATTTATGTTTAATAAAGTGTTCAATAATATATAGATTTAAGACATAAATGGTTTGAGGGAAATATGTTAACCTACTTATTGCATTTGAGATGCATTATTCTGAAGAAGGATCACCGTCTATGTTTAGTGAAGTGTTCAATAATATATAGATTTTATTTTCATTGTACTTATTGTTGTCATTATTAATATTTTATTATACAATTTGAATACCAAATTGCATTTTGAAAAGTACGAAATTAATACAGCGTACGTGCATCGCATGGGTACTAAACTAGTAATGTTGTATATAAGAGTATTCAATGATGTATAAGGACCCATTTGTATGAATTACTCTTCATCTTATAACGTTTCTTCTTTTATTGTTCTCGTGCATTTGTACAAGAAATCGTACTGATAAGAGATAAAAGGCATTTGTACATGAGCTGCTCTGGTGTCCCTCATTGAATTGGGCCTTAGGTTGTTGCCCACGTCGCCTTGGGCCACGGTTGGCCCTACTATGGCGGTGAATCAAAATGCAACCACTATAGCGACCAAGCTCATGTCAGTCTTGCTAGAAGAAGAGACGTCCTGGTGGTAGAATAATCCAAAAGAGCAGGTCGAGTATGGCACTATTTCCCTTGCCCGCATAAGTTTTTATGCAGCATATTGTCACCTTCATCCCCAATTCGCCAAACTTATGGACTCCTAATATTGCAGTTACTATTTGTTGTCATCTTCATGCTTCACTAGGAATTGTCCAGCTCGTCCTCAACCGTGGACGAGATCAAACACGAACCTCAGCATGAGATAAGAGCAAGGAGAACTAGAAGGTCGCACATCACAACCACGAAATACGAAAAAGTTGAACGGCCAAAGAAAAGAGCATGTCGCAGCTCTAAAAGAAACGGGAGTGAAAAAAATGGCTCCTCGGGACTAGGGTCGTGTCTGAGATGGGCAAACCTTCAATCGCTTCGAAGTTGGTGAATGATTTTGGCAATTCTTCCAGTACCATGCACAAACTAGCTTCCGCCACGCGCTACAGTACTTCACCCTCACCATTGACGTAACTGAAGCCCAACTTACTCTTGATCAAACTGAAGCCCAACTAGTTGCTTGATTCGGATGGCCGCGGAAGAAAATCTCCGACAACGATTTGGCAACCCAAACCTTCCTCTCGTCTACCCATGGTGAGAGGTCACAATGGGGAAAACAGTCCAAAAAAGCGATAATCATTGATCCCACAACACCAATCCAAGTCCAAAGAAGTGGTCATTGATCCCACAACACCAATCCTTCCTGACTAGTTTACTAAACAAGCTTTAAATAAACTTAACCTTAACTCCAAGTCCAAAGAAGCGGTCATTGATCCCACAATACCAATCCATCTTGACTCCCACAATACCAATCCATCTTGACTCGTTTGCTAAACCTACTTTTTTGGTACAGGGACCTTCCGGTTTCCGGATCCACAGAGGAACCGACTAATCCGGAACCGACTAAACCTACTTTAAATAAACTTAAAACGAACACGCGACTCATTCTGTTGAACTACTCTAGTCAGTGGCGGAGCCACACCTTG